AGGCGCCTTAGTCATCTACGCTATCGGAGCCACTAAGCAGAATAACGGCACATTTATATCTTCATATCAGCCTCTCGTAGTGTTAGTGCGGTGAGAAATGAAATTTATTATTTGCGATGAACTTCAATTCAATTCAATTCGGTTTATTGTCCCAAGAAACAATGAATGCTTATAATTAGGGGCTATAACTAACTACAAAGTATAATAAAATAACAGAAATAACATACTTTACAATGAACACATATCATATCTAGAAAAAAAATATCAATGAAATGCAGTCAAATAATGAAATTGGTTACAGAAAGAATATAATATTCAAAACGTGTAATTGAAATAAAATGCAAACTATGAAATTCCACTAATTAGATTTCTTTCAATTGATATTTGAATTTTGTAATGGAATAATACTTATTTATTTTTTCTGGAATTGAATTATATATAATGATCCCACCATGATATATCGACTTTTTTCCAAAATTTGTTTGTAAATTTGTGACAAAAATTTGGTTTGTCTTGTGGCATGATTATGAATATGTCCAATTGGAATAAAATTTAAGTTTGATTTCTTTGTATTATTTTTTACAACACGAATGCAGCTAATTTTGAGTTCATAGAGTGAATTCAAGTCCAATAAAAGGTTTGGCTTATATAAGTTCAATGTTGGTTCCAAATATGATAATTTATAAATGCTTCTTATTATTTTGTTTTGTAAGGTTTTCAGAGGTTTTATTATAGATTTACCTGCTGTTCCCCAAATAGAAATGATATTGTACATGATTGTATGTGAATAAATGAGACTGAAATATATATTTTTTTTAAATTTCAAAGGTATAAAGTTTCTTGCTGGGCTCAACTGTCCTTAAAAAACAACCCGAGTAAGTAAAGGTAAATAAATTGATGGATGTAGCCGTTACTACGTGGTAGAAAATCATAATGACGGAAAAAGAATTGAAACGTTCTATGTTTTTACCACTTTTATTTTTAACTAACGTTACTGCAGTTTCATCCTATAAGGACATTTTCAAACTTTTTCAATAAACTAACAATGGTTTATAACATAACCCTTTTTATAGCACCCCTGTAGGTAATAATAAAGGTACTTGACTTGATTGAGTACCTGAATTCACAATTTACAATGCGGATGTGCTAATTTGAAAAACGGTGAGTAAACTAAATCGATTTGATCGTTCAACGGGTTGCACCCGCAATGTTTATGCTTGTGAATTTTCAAGGATTCTAAATGAATGAGTTTGTAACTCTTCCTTGCATAATGCCAAGGAATGATTTGAAAACGTTGAATCATTTTTTCCTAGTCTGAAGGACCTTTCATGTTCAGCATACCGTTTTTGGAAATTTCGATCACATTACCCCACATAAACACTATTACACTCCGGACACTTGAGCTTATAAACTCCAGATTTCTCCAACTTGTCCACCTTATCTTTGGCATTGGAACGGAAATCAGATAACCTGGCAGGTGGTCTGAATGCCACTTCCACATAGTTTTTTCTCAAGAAACCCACATTTTCTCCAAAATATGTTATAGGAACCCATTTCTTGATTTCTGGTCGTTTGACCTGAGGGTATATTAATCTGTAAGTGAATTTACCATGGATGTTCTACGTACATGGAATTTACGGCTTTGTTTTCTGACTAACGTCTAGATACTAATATCTGTGTTGAAACCATTATTATGACCTATCTGTGTAATTATATCAATTTTCCTAGCTAGATTATTAGCAGACAAAGGCAGTGAGAATGCTTTGTGCAACATCGAATTATAGGTTGGTAATTTATGACTGTCTGGATGGAAATAATCGCTTGGGATGGTAATGTCTGTATAGCTAGATTTTCTAGCTATACAGACATTGCTATCTAGCATTGACCTCAAATAGTATTATGTGATATTTTTTATCTTTTATTCTTTTTTTTTGTATTTTCAATTATCGTAGGTAAGACTACTTATTAACAAATATAAGTAGATCTTTTTGCAGAAGGATTCGATGGTAATTCTTCTATATCGCTAATATCAGACATTTTGGTAATATAATTTTCGAAGTTTAACTATATTCTATGAAAATTTAATACCTACTGATTTTTAAAAATTTAACAATTATAGTCTATACAGTACTGAGAGAAACTACAACAGTATATCTAAACATATTAGTACAACAGGCGTACTGCATTCATATCTTTTACTCGCAACGAATTGAATAAATGAAAACACAATTTTTTTTCGTGAAAAATCTCATTCATAACAAACAAAATAACAAATCAACTTCGACAAATGTGATAATATGTCCAGTAGTAACCAAATCATTCTCCAACGAATAGGTATTTAGTTGCAGGGGATTGAAAAAAATTGTTTCTTTGAAGGCGGTATAAATAAATATTCCTTTGAATTAAACCGTCAAGAGACACACTGCACTCATCAATAGGACCGACTTGGCTTTTTACAGAGGAAGAAAATATTACTTTATTTTCTGTTGGGAGTAAAGGCCATGGTAGGGGGGTTAGTCGTGATATTCTTCAGTTACAACAACTAGCTTACAACGTGTGAGCTAGTTGTTCGGGAACCGTGAAGTGTCCGAAACTGTCAGCATTAAATATAAATAAAGAAACAATTGTTATTCTTCAAGAATACAATACCCACCCTATTCTATTAAGAGAACAGTACACTCTTTTTACATAAAAAAAAATACCTTAAATGAAGTTTTGCTAGTTATTCGTGAAGAAAGTTTTTTCCTGATATAAGAAGAAATAGATTGTGGAAGATATTACAAGAGTTGAACCTCATTTTTGGAAAATTAGATTGAAAAAGTATGTTAATAGAAAAATCAGAGATTATACGTATGGCATGTTTGCCTTTTTGAAATTCTTCCACTCTCAGATAATACCGAATGTACCATAGATAGGAATCTAGGACAATCGTGAAATGCACATCATGCTTGAATGAAAAATTATGAGCATAAAAGTGTATTATTATAGTACTGGTTTAGGAAAAAGAATGTGAACTTTCACGGCCGGAGTTAGCTATGTCGAAGTTATTTTCCAGATTTGTGGTTAACAGATTTCTATATCTGACGTTTTGTTTCCGACTCATCGAAGGCAATGAGGCATCGAACGAAATGATTGGATTGTTCATACAGCATTCAGAATTCTACAAGTTTCTCAAGGTTTCCACTTGGAAATTTGAATTAGAATGTCGGTTCATCCATATTTGTAACAATAAATTTGTAAACAAACAACATTCGTTAACGTGAGATTCAAAATGTATGCAAGTTTGGAGTCGTTCGATTGAGATGTTTGAAAATGAATTTTTGCATTTCTAATATTTTCGGATGAAAAGCTCTGTTACTATAATAATAAATGAACTTGAAATAGCTGTGAATTTCTATAATGATACATGAGATTTGATCAATTGAGAAGTTCTATTGATGCACTGTTTGAAACCTCT